GTATTTTCACCAAAAAAAAAAGGTTGAGAAGTTAGAGGGCTGATATGTTGTGGGGTTGTTAACCAATGTCATAAAACAATATGTGTACTTCTGTTTCATGAGAAACTATTTGTTCTGTAAGCCTTCACCTGAAGTACAATTAAAAAGAATTAAAATTAAAATAAAAAAAAAATATGCTGTGCACTATCAATCTTTATTGCAAAATTTATTGTAATATCCTGTGATAACTATTTATGACTTGAATTGTTGAGTTTCACAACTTCTTGGAAAATAGATGTCAGTCAGGATACCAGTACATATTTTTAAATCAGTGAAGCTAAGTCAGCATCACAGCTGTCTTCTATAACGAGCAAATACCTAAGGTTCCTGTTCGTATAAAGTAAGGAAAATTACCTCTGACAGTCTTAACATCAATTTGTCTTTTATTTGCTCATCCATAATTCTTGCCACGTTTTGCTGCTATTTATATTTCGTTAGGGGTTCTCTCTTTTCTAGGTTTGCCTCTCTTCTCACCTGTTCTTTCAGGAAACTTAAGATGCCAAGTTAGTGATATCACGTATGTTTCCATGGTTACCAGTCACAATTCTGCATACACATGATTAGAATTTCACAGTAGGGGAAGCTGGACTGTGAGAAGAGAATGATCTTTATCCTAAAGCAAATGCCTGATTAGCGTAGGGAACAAAAAAATGAGAAACAAAGCAATTTGCTTGATCTTTTTTTACACTGCCTGCAATGGAGAAAGCCTTTCTTCTTGGAAATCAGATGAAAGATAGCCCCTGTCTATACCCCTAATTCTTAAGTACTATAATATGGACAATCTTTGAATCCACAAAGGACTGTAAGTAAAATATTTGAAAACCATTGTTTCTCTGATAGTGAATCTGTTTGAGTATAGCTAAATTCATAGTAGTAGTTTATATTTGTGTTGTCTGCTTACTATGGGAGCAAACAGATTTTGAGCAGATTTTTTTGTCATTGTTTTGTTTTGTTTTTGGAAATTTCACTGAGCTTACGAGTTGTTTGAATACTTACGTAATTATAGAGTAAGAGTTTTAAAAGCTTGATGATATTTTAGGTACCTGTTACGTCAGCATACAGTTTTGAGGCAGTTTTTTATGCCTTCTCCCAGACTTCCAGATGTTCTCTCCTGTTGTTGGGTTGTATAATTATAGCCACGTACTCTGCTTTTCCCACTAGGTCACAAAGCTCTTGTTTAAAGAGCAGATGATATTTCAGTGTATCCTTTTGAGGAAAGAAAATGAATTCTTCTGGAATAGTGGTTAAGTGTCAGGCAATGTGTTGTATATACTTCCGTATTCAATATCTAATATTACTGTAGGCCTGAACTCAGTCAACCTTTGGCCTGTGATAGGATTTTGTTCTTGTTGTTATGATAGAAACTGAATGGTTTTAATTTTTGTGAACCCAAGGTGAGAAAATAAACCTTAAAATAATTTGTGCTAAAAATTGTTTTGGAGTTCATTAAAATTAAGTGCTACTGTTTTTGTTGTTATTGTTACTTTTAAAATAACTAATCAAATATTGCTATATATATATGTCAAAGACTCATCTGTCAGTTTGTCATACTGTGATGGCTTGTATGCTACTATGATGCCGGAAGCTTCATACTAGTATTTCAAATACCACAGGGTCACCCACGGTGGACAGCTTTCAGCAGAGCTTCTGGACTAAGACAGACGAGGAAGAAAGGTCTAGTGATTTGTTTCCAAAAATTAGCCAATGAAAACCTTATGGATCCCAACAGAATATTGTCAGATATAGTGCTGAAACATGAGTCCTCTAGGTTGGAAGGCGTTCCAAATATACAGTGGTCACAACAAGGGACCCAAGTATATGAACAGTCATGAAGACGGTGCAGAACCAGGCAACATTTTGTTCTGTTCTACATAAGGTCACCATGAGTCAGAGCTGACTCCATAGCGACTAACAACAATAATACAGATTTCAGCAAGATATTTGATAAAGCCTCTCTTTGTACACAGGACATTTGTAGGCTGGTAGAGAAAACCATTAATAGGATTCATTGCTGGTTGGAAAACTCTTCCCAAAATTTTTCTGGAAAGACATCTATAGTAGCATGTGCAGGTTTCAGCTCTTGTCCCCAGGCTATTTGCAAATGACATTAACAATTAGGATGATGACAACTGACAGAACTCAGAAAAGCACTATACTTATGATTACAGTTTTATTATAAAAAGATGCAAAAGAAGAGATGCATAGTGAGAGGTCTGGGAGGGTCCCAAAGGCGTGCTTCCGTGTCCCCAGAGCGGCGTTACCCTCTTGCATTGATGTCTGTCGTCAGCCAGGAAGCTCACTGGAGATTCAGTGTCTAAAATTTTTATTGTTGTTCTTGTTAGGTGCTATTGAGTTGGTTCCGACTCATAGTCACCCTGTGTACAACAGAACACAGGACTGCCCAGTCCTGAGCCATCCTCACAATCTTTTTTGTGTTTGAGCCCAGTGTTAAAGCCACTGTGTCAATCCATCTCATCGAGGGTCTTGCTCTTTTTCGCTGACCCTCTGCTTTACCAAGCATGATGTCTTTCTCCAGAGACTGATCCCTCCTGATAACATGTCCTCCTAAGGAGCATTCTGACTGTACTTCTTCCAAGACAGATTTGTTCATTCATTTGGCAGTCCATGGTATATTCAATATTCTTTGCCAACACCATAATTCAAAGACGTCAATTCTTTATGTTCCTTATTCATTGTCCAGCTTTCGCATACACATGAGGTGACGGAAAATACTATGGCTTGGGTCAGGCCGACCTTACTCCTCAAAGTAACATCTTTGTTTTTTTTAACACTTTAAAGAGGTCTTTTGCAGCAGATTTGCCCAGTGCAATGCATCTTTTGATTTCCTGACTGCTGCTTCCATTGGTATTGATTGCGGATCCAAGTAAAATGAAATCCTTGACAACTTCAGTCTTTTCTCCGTTTATCATGATGTTGCTTATTGGTCCAGTTGTGAGGATTTTTGTTTTCTTTATGTTGAGGTGTAATCCATACTGAAGGCTGTGGTTTTTGATCTTCATGAGCAAGTGCTTCAAGTCCTCTTTACTTTCAGCAAGCAAGGTTGTGTCATCTGCATAACACAGTCGTTAAAAATGAGTCTTCCTCCAGTCCTGATGCCCTGTTCTTCTTTATATAGTCCAGCTTCTCGGATTATTTGCCCAGCATTTTGGAGATTGCATAAGTATGCTGAAAGGATACAACCCTGATGCACACCTTTGCTGATTTTAAACCACGCAGTATCCCTTTGTTCTGTTCGAACAACTGCCTCTTGATCTATGTACAGGTTCCACATGAGCACAATTAAGTGTTCTGAAATTCTCATTCTTTGCAATGTTATCCGTAATGTGTTATGATCCACACAGTCGAATGTCTTTGCATAGTCAGTAAAACACAGGCAAACAACTTTCTGGTATTCTCTGCTTTTAGCCAAGATTCATCTCACATCAGCAGTGATATTGCTTCGTCACATCCTCTTCTGAATCTGGCTTGCATTTCTGACTGTTCCCTGTTGATGTACTGCTGCAACCATTTTTGAATGATCTTCAGCAAAATTTTACTTGCATATGACATTAATGATATTGTTCAGTAATTTCCACATTCTGTTGGATTACCTTTCTTTGGGATGGACATGTATATGGATCTCTTCCAGTTGGTTGGTCAGGTAGCTGTCTTCCAAATTTCTTGGCATAGATGAGTGAATGTCTCCAGTGCTGCATCCGTTTGTTGAAACATGTCAATTGGTGTTCAGTCAATTCCTGGAACCTTGTTTTTTGCCAGTGCTTTCAGTGCAGCTTGGACTTCTTCCTTCAATACTGTCAGTTCTTGATCATATGCTACCTCCTTAAATGGCTGAACATAGATAGACCAGTTCTTTTTGGTACAGTGACTCTGTATTCCTTCCATCTTCTTTTGATGCCTCCTGTGCTGTTCAGTATTTTACCCATAGAATTCTTCAGTATTGCAACTTGAGGCTTGAATTTTTTCTTCAGTTCTTTCAGCTTGAGAAATGCCTAGTGTATTCTTCCCTTTTGGTTTTCTAACTCCAGGGCTTTTCATATGTCATTATAATACTTTGTCTTCTTGAGCCGCCGTTCGAAATCTTCTGTTCACCTCTTTCATTTCATCATTTCTTCCATTCGCTTTAGCTACTCTGCGTTCAAGAGCAAGTTTAAGAGTCTCTTCTGACATCCATTTTGGTCTTTTCTCTCTTTCCTGTCTTTTTAATGACCTCTTGCTTCTTCATGTATGATTTCCTTGATGTCATCCCACAACCTGTCTGGTCTTCAGTCATAAGTGTTAAAGGTATCTAATCTATTTTTTATGTAATCTGTTTTTACTTAGGTTTCTTTATATACTCAAAAGTTTGAGTCATTGCCCACATGACTGAACTCAGTCTCCCTACAGGTCCCCTCCCTGGAGGTTGAGCTGATATCACATGGTGGATCTTTCTGGTGTGGCTGCCCGCACTGTGAGTCATCTCATTAGCATAAACTGTCAAGTGTGGTCAGGTGCCCACCATGAATAACAAAGACACTCTAATCAGTTGGTAAATTCCAGTAGTTTAGAGGCCTGCCTCTCCAGGAATTGGAGACAAAGACCAAATTTTTTGGATGAAGTCGTTCTTCATTCCACATAGGGGGACATTTGGGTTTCCAGGTATTTTTTGGTTTGTTTTTGCACCTGATATTATGAACAGCGCTGCTGTTAACAATGTTTTACATGACTAGTCCTTTCTAAGTATCCATCTGAGTGGAATTGTTGAGGACTGCTACATTATAATGGGGACATTAACAAACTGGAGTGAATTCAGAAGAGGACAGTGAAGAATAGTTCAACCGAATCATAACCAAACTTTATTTTCTTTATTGTCTTAGGGATTGAAGAGGTTAATGACCATTTGCCAGAAGCACTTTCCTACAGATCCTTCAAAATGTGTGGAGTACAATGCACTATGAGATCTGTGTACTGTGTGTAAATAGCAATAAGACACTTAAGGCAGCATGGTATGGACGTTTGGAATTAACCAACAGGAATAAAGGAAGAAGAAAAATGGAGTTTCCTGTCTCTGATTTCTCCTTGATGCAACCCTTGATTGATTTTAAGAACTGTGTTGGCTCTCGTATCACATCTGACTGTAAACTTATTTTATGTGTCTTCCTTTTATGTTAAGTACTCGAAAAATTAAGTTCTAGAGACTGTTGTCTACACATTTAAATTGTGTAAAACACAGAGGAAATTTATAAATGACTTTTTCCTGCTAGACCTGAAAGTGTGGTTAGATGATTAAAAAGAAACATTTGAGGATGGACTTCATTATATCTGTAAAATATGATAATTTGCACATTGTATTTTATGTCATATTTATAAAAAATATTTTTATAGTTTGAATAAAGATAGAATTGTTTAATACAACTCCATAGTCCTTAAGTGTTACTGAACTTTCGCTGTTTTGCAGTAAAAATTTAAATGTAAATATTACTACTGTTAACTCAGGTGTTATTTTTCTTATGTTTCAAGGCTTTTATTTTCCAAGGAGTTTAAATTTTAATATTTGTCATCCCTCAGGAAGGTTAGAATTAACGGGAAACAGAAGCTTGAAAACCAAAGATGGTATATTATACCGACATAAATTCCAAACCAGTAGTCCCACTGCATCAAGGTTCAGGGATGGGAAATGGATCATGGAGCCAGCCAAGAAAGAATTTTGATGATGCTGGTTCCTCTTCTAATAGGACTGCCTGGTAGTTTCATCCTCCTGAGACATGTGGCTGACTGCTGTTCCCAGCTAGTCTGCCAGACAGAATAGAAAGATGCCAGTACTGATGTCACTGCCTGAGACATTATATCCTCGTTCTGATTTTCCACACAGTGAGGACTTGCTCTAAATCTTGAACTGTGTTATACCCAGATAATCGCCACAAATCACTGCATTTTAAAGTTGAGAGTAACAAGGGTAAATAGAATGTTACCCAACCAGGTGGAGTTGCAGTATTGGATAGTAAGAGTGTGGGCCCTGAAGTTAGAACTTCCTAGCTTCAAATTGCATCTCTGTACCAGCTAACTGTATGATCTTCAGCAAGTAACAGTCTTTCTAAGCCTCAGGTTCCTCATCTGTAAAATGGTAGTTAGTACTAATAGTACATACCTCATAGGACTTTTGTTTGTGTTTAAGTAAAATCCGGTGCTTGGCATACTGCCTGGCAAATAATAAATGTTCAGTAAATATTTGTTGTTGTTAGATGGTAGCCAAAGTGCCTTTCAGGAAGCCTTTGGTTAGAGGCAGTATGTACTCACATAATGATAACAGCAGTAATAATGGTGACATTAAACAATTACCATGCCCAGGCTTTATGGCTGCTTCCACTTTCGGTCAGTTCTGAGTTTAGAAGGGCAGTGGGTATGCTGGGGCTAGAGGCAGCTGAGTGGGTGGGTGTAAATTCTGGCCCTTCTTGGGAAGACTTGAAAGCTAGTTTTGGCCACTTCTGGTCTATGGCTGTGCGTATCTGATTGTTTCTGCTGATTACTGGCATGGTGATGGCTGAGGCACCCTGGCCTGAATTGAATCAGGGTCCTCACCTCGCCATCCTTCCCTATTCTGGAAACCTTTTCTTAGGATTAAATTAATTAGAACTACTAGAAATTTAAGAGCACAAATGAGCAGCAGACTTACATAGGATAATAAGAACAATCTAGCCTTTCATCATGTGGTCTTGTTGCATAGGACTTGTTTATAGATACTGTTGAATGAGTACTTCCCAAATTACTTTTTCTTACTCAGAATCAGGCCACAGCATGGTAGTTAGTTAATTTCATATTATCTTCCCTTTTCCACATAAGGAAGGAATTGTATCATGTGACACCATTACCTTCTAAAAGGCATTGATCAGCATGAATGAATGGTTTAGGAAAAATAAAGTTTGTAACATTCTACACTGCTGTGAATGTTAACCATTTGGGGCTTGGGTAGAGGGAAGTAGGTTCAAAGATGTGGGTCCTCTCTGAAGTTTTCCATTTCCCTGAAATTAAAGATCTTCAGATGACTTCAGATATCATGAGGATATATAGAAAAACAACCTCCCACATTCTCCAAATCTTGAAAATTTTAGCCCAGCATATGTGTATTTCTGTTTTTAGCTATTTCTAAAACAAAAAAGACATGTCTTTAAATCAATCACAATCCTAAAATAACTTTCTTCCCTCCTCTACTCCCCAGACTCCTATCCAAACAAATTTAGTAAACCACTGGTTCTCCTTCAAAAGTAAATATTGTATTTCCTAGGAGTGTTCTTGCCAATTGCAAAGTCTGAGCAGTATCTTTCAGCATTGCAGCATAGAGCCTGCGGCAAGCTAGAAGTCATGGTTGTGATTTCAGTCTTTGGGGAAAATTAGAAAATAAGGCTGAGGCCAAAGATAATTGACACACAGGGAGAGCCAGAGGATAGTCTGGATCCTGTAGGCAGGAGGGGGAGGCCCTCAGAGACCAGAACTAGGAAGGCAGCTGTCACTTAAAGCAGAACTTAGTGATTTGTTGTGGACTCTGAACTCTGGGTGAGAATTTGGAGAGTAGGAAGTATGATTGATAACAGTATAACTTCATTTTAAAGTCTTCCTTCTGGTGATTTCCTGACTGACTCTAGCACTTTAGATTGCCCTGGGATTTGATGTCAGTAAATAATTGAGAAATACAACTGCCCTTTTATTTGAAAGAAAGGGATAATTTATTGTGAAAATAAACAAGTTGGGGAAGACTAAAAAACATTTTAGAGTCTTTGGTAGATCTCAATTTGAGTATTCATATCACTGGCCCCTTTTCAGCCACACAATATCCCCTTTAATGCTTCTTAACATAGAAGACTAGAACTAAGTGGTACTTGGATCCACAGTCAAGGCCCAGGAAAGCAGCAGTCAAGAAATCAAACGACATATACATTGGGTAAATCTGCAAAACATCTCTTTAAAGTGTAAAAAGCAAAGATGTGCACCTTGAAACTAAGGTGCACCTGACCCAAGCCGTGGTATTTTTAATCACCTCATGCATGCAAAAGCTGGACAACGAATAAGGAAGACCGAATAACAATTGATGCATTTGAATTATGGTGTTGGCGAAGAATATTGAATATACCATGGACTGCCAGAAGAACAAATGAGTCTGCCTTGAAAGAAGTACGGCCAGAATGCTCCTCCTTAGAAGCGAGGATGACGAGATTTTGTCTCATGTACTTTGGACATGTTATCAGGAGGGACCAGTCCCTGGAGAAGGACATCATGCTTGGTAAAGCAGAGGGTCAGCGAAAAAGAGGAAGACCCTTGATGAGATGGATTGACACAGTGGCTGCAACACAGGGCTCAAACACAGCAAAGATTCTGACGATGGCTCAGGACTGGGTAGTGTTTTGTTCTGTTGTACATGGTGGCTATGAGTCAGAACCAACTCTCCGGCACCTAACAACAACAACAGAACTAAGTGGGGCAGTTTGAATGAAAGAGGAGTACTAATTTGAGATGTGACTATTTCCTTTGAATATCCTGAACAGTATAACTTAATAGATTGTGCTTCCTCCCTCACCCACCCTCCCCCCAATTTACTCCCGTGAAGCCCCTGAAACAATAACATTATCCCATAGAAATTTATGGTATGGTATCACATTGGGAGTTCTGAACTGAAAAGTACTTTCTCACGGCATATTTATGTAAGAGTTTCCATCTGTCCAGAGTGTGAGAGCCAGCTCCAGTCCCCAGAGCGTTGCTATGGGAACACTGTTATGGCAACTGTTTTTCATCACAGACTCTGCAGTTAGATTTGTTGAATTATAACCTCACGCTAGTATTTTAATGGTTAATAGTAATCTTAAAATCTTTTGAAATGTAAAAATAAGTTCTGTTGGTATGGGATAACTAGGCTTCTAGAATGCAGTGTGGCTAGCAGCAACAGCAGCTGTGGTATGAGCTGATGCCATTCAAGCTTTTGGAATCATGTTCATTTAAAAAAAATTTTTTTTTGTGTGTGTGTTTCCTAAAACAGTTCATTACTGAAAAACATTGGTTATTTTTCCTCATTATAAACTAGGGTACGTTGTAGAACTTGCTGAAACTAATTCTTTTGTTGCCTGTAATGGTTGCTGTGTTTAGCTGGGCTACTTTCTTTTCTTTAGTCTCTCTTTTCCATCCTTAAATACCAGTTTTGAAATAATTGTCAGCCTTCTTAACTTTTTCTCATAGTATTCAAGCTTAATGCATGCTTCTAACCATGGAGAGCAGCTGAGAAGTTTCAAGCTTCTTTTTGGATGCTATTGGTAATCGCAGATTCATTCACTGAGCTTCCTACCATTACAGTCAAGTGCCATTGGCACAGTCTGGCTTTGCCTTTCTGAACTGCCTGGTTTTACAACTTGCCAAACACAAATTGCCTCTGCTGTCAGACTGCTCTTCCCTTTAAGATTTAGGAGACATTATAAACCATTAGTATTACAGTCTGAGCTTGGCTTGCAGTTTCTGCCATTCTGTGAAATACGAGAGTTAAAGCAGTAGTTTTTTTACCACAGGCCACAGTAAACAATAATAAATTTGTCAAACCCAATATTAGTACGTATGTACATATATAACTGAAAGGAAAGTTTAGCTATAAAGTACTGACCACGCTATGTGTGATGCATTATATTTTCGATTCTGTTCTAGTTCATTTAAAAAATCCTGGTTCTGGCTGTCTAAATTGATTGACTAATTGGCTCTGTAAATTGATTTTACAACATGTTAATAAGTGGTGACCAGCAGTTTGAAAACCACTGATTAAAAGGAATTATTAGTGGAGTTAAGGAAGAAAATGGTCTGTTAGATGAATTCCAGGCAAAAGGACTCTGCCTCTTTTATTTTTTTAATGCAGAAATAATCCTTGGCTCTTAAGGTTGGTGTGAGATTTAGGAGATTGTAAAACCTTGAGTACTTCGCATGATACTTTTGAAGCAATAATGCTTAAAATGGAGAAACTTATCCATTAGAGGGAGAGAAGAATAACCAAGACAAGCAGCATGTAAACCATCTGTATGAAAATTGGCAGCAAGAACATGTGGCTACCTGTAAATTGTGTGCAAAGCAAGATTAAACAAGATACTATAAAATAGATGGAAGGTCAGCTAAAGTGTGAGATAGGGTTAAGGCAGGTACAAGGAATCCAGTATTATGCATCAAGTGTCTGTTGAAAGACGTTTGTCCAGCCCTTTGAAGATTATTTTCCAAGACTCAGTAGAGCTAGATGACATTTATTATAATGTAGAAGTTTTATTAAAGTATGTCCTATATACAGAAAAGTGCACAAATCATAAGAGTACCACATCCTGATAAATTTTTCACAAAGTAGCTAGCACCCAGATCAGGAAAGATAGGTTGTTAATGCCCCAAAAGTCCCATCATGCCCCCTTCTAGTCACAGCCATGATCCTGAGTTCTATTACCATAGATGTTTTTAAAAACATTTTTATTGATATACAATTCATATACCATAAAATTCACCCACTTAAAGTGTACAATCGTTTTAGTGTATTCAGAGAGTTTGTGCAACCATCACCACAATCTAAGTTTAGAACATTTTTATCACCCCAGAAAGAAACTCCATACCTGTTAGCTGTCACTCCCCACATAGGTTACTTTTACCTGTTATTTAAATTGTTTATTAATAGATTTTTTTAGTCTCGACTTCTTTGGCTCAACATATGGTTTCTGATACTCATCCTTATGTGTAGCTGTGGTTTGTTCATTTTCATTGCTCTGTCCCGCAATTTATCCATCCCACTGTGGATAGACATTTGAGTTGTTTCCAGCTTTTGTATGAACATTTTCTATGTGATTTTCGATGAATGTTAGTTTCTGTACCCAGGGGTGGAATTGCTGGGATATAGGGTAAACATGTACTCAGCTGTGGTAGATACTGTGAAACAGTTTTCCAAAGGGCTTGTACTAGTTTATGCTCCCACTGTTGGGGTTTGAGAGTTCCAATTACTACACATCCTGGCCATACTTGATACAGCCTTTGTCATTTTTATTTTAGCCCTTCAGGTGGGTGTATAACAATATCACATTGTGGCTTTAATTTGCATTTCCCTAAAGACTAGTAAAGTTGTCATCTTTTTCATGTTTAATGGCCAGTTGGATATTATCTTTTGTGAAGTTCCTATTCAGGTCTTTTTTGTTATGGTGGTTTATCTTTCTATTGAATTGTCTGCCTTTTCCTTACTGATTTATAGTTCTTTATATATTCTGGCTATGAGTCCTTTATTAGATATATGTATTCAAAATACCTTCTCCCACTCTGTGGCTTGCCTTTGTGCTAGGTTACTTTTTCTTACAGAAGGGAAATAATCTTAAGATTAGCTCAGATAGAACTTAGCCAGATTGATTTTATAAAAATAAAATCGTATGTCAATCTTAAATAACCTAATTTTTTCTTTTATTTAATGATGTCATCCTAGTGACATGCCTAAGAATATAGGATTTGAGAGAAGAGGAAATCATGTGAAGTTTGTTAAACTTTAGTTTTATTAGATTATTATTTCATATAAGACCTGCTATTCTTATTTTTCTCCTTTTGGTGTGCAAGTTTATGTGCCATATATGTGTGGTGTAGACACTGCTAGTTGCTGACTCTGTTTTCATTCTCTTCTTTACTAACAGAGGCCTAATTTGTTCAGAGCTACAATATGCACAGTTAAAACTACTTGCTGTCCCAGGACCCTTTGTAGTTAGGGTTGGTCATGTGACATGGTTCTGCTAATGAAATAGAATTCTACTGGGTGGGACTTCCAGGAAAGCTATTGCTTTTCTAAGAGAAAGACTTAGCTTAGATGCTTGGCAGCCATCTCACAATCTTTTTTGTTTTTTTAATTATAAAAAATATATATAACACGATATTTGCCAATTTAATGTTTTTCATCTGTACAATTTAATGAAATCAATTACATTAATCA